GAATTAAGAGTAAGACAGAGTAGGATGGCAGATGAACAAGGAGGCTTTAGGAAGGTAGTGGGTGTGTAGACCAAGTGTTTTATTGAAACGTAGGTGAACAGTATTTAGATGATGCTAAAGAGGTTTTTGTTGCATTTATGGATTTGGAAAAGGCATATGACAGGGTGGATAGGGAAGCAATTCGGCAGGTGTATGGTATAGGAGGTAGTTTACTGAAAATGGTGAAGTTTTTACGAGGATAGTGAGGCTCAGGTTAGAGTATATAGGAGAGGGAGTTTCCCAGTAAAAGTATTGCTTAGACAAGGATGTGTGATGCCACTGTGGCTGTTCAACATATTTATAGATGGGGTTGTAAGAAGTGACTGCAAGGGCCTTGGCAAGAGGTGTGGAGTTAAAAGATGAAGAATCAAACACAAAGTGGGAGTTGTCAAAGTTGCTCTTTGCTGATGACACTGCTTTTGGGAGATTCTGAAGAGTTGCAGAGGTTGGTGGATGAATTTGGTAGGGTATGTAAAAGAAAATTTAAGTGAATATAGGAAAGAGTAAGGTGATGAGGATAACAAAGATTAGGTGACAAAAGACTTAATATCAGATTGGAGGGAGAGAGTATGGAGGAGGTGAAGATATTCAGATATTTAGGAGTGGACTTGTCAGCAGATGGGTCTATGAAGGATGAGGTGAATCATAGAATTGATGAGGGGAAAAAGGGTGAGTGGTGCACTTAGGAGTCTGTGGAGACAAAAAACTGTCGGTGGAAGCAAAGAGGGGAATGCAAGCGAGAATAGTTATACCAACACTTCTATGTGGGTGTGAAGCATGGGTGATGAATGTTGGAACGAGGAGAAGGCTTGAGGCAGTGGAGATGTCATGTCTTTGCTGTGTGGTGGGAATATTGTGCAGAAAATTCATAGCTTGGAAATTGGGAGGTGTTGGATTACCAAAACTATTATCCAGAGGGTTGAGGTGGTTTCTCCATGTAGAGAATGGAACAAAACAGAATAACTCAGTGTATAAATCTGTAGTGGAGGGAAGGCGGGGTAGGGGTCGGCCTAGGAAAGATTGGAGGGAGAGGGTTAAGATTTTGTGTACAAGGGGCTTGGACTTCCAGCAAGCATGCATGAGTGTATTTGATAGGAGTGAATGGAAGCAAATTGCTTTTAATACTTTACATGCTGTTGGAGTGGGAAGAAAGTAACATTTTTGAAGGGATTCAGGGAAACCGGCAGGTTGGACTAGAGTCCTGGAGATGGGAAGTACAGTGTCTACACTCTGAAGGAGGGGTGTTAATGTTGCAGTTTTATAACTGTAGTGTAAAGCACCCCTCTGGCTTGACAGTGATGGAGTGAATGATGATGAAAGTTTCTTTTTCGGGCCACCCTGCCTTGGTGGGAATCAGCCGATGTGTTAATAAAAAAATAAAATTCACTTTAAGCATTTGTTAGATTTTTTATGCCTTGCTGCTTTTATAACATTAATGTTGTGTTATAATGAAACATTTTTTACCTTCAGAAATAAAATGAGAAAGCAGTGTCCAGTTGACCTTCCTAGATCACCACTTAAGGTAAGATAGTTATTTGTAGTAATAGTACAGTTACATATTGTCAAGTGTTATGGTCACCATAATTTCAGCTACATTGAGTCCTGGAAATGGGAAGTACAATGCCTGCACTTTAAAGGAGGGGTTTGGGATATTGGCAGTTTGGAGGGTTATGTTGTGTATCTTTATACGTATATGCTTCTAAACTGTTGTATTCTGAGCGCCTCTGCAAAAACAGTGATAATGTGTGTGGTGAAAGTGTTGAATGATGATGAAAGCATTTTCTTTTTGGGGATTTTCTTTCTTTTTTTTGGGTCACCCTGCCTCGGTGGGAGACAGCCGACTTGTTGAAAAAAAAAAAATAGTATTATTTTTTATTATTTTATTATCACACTGGCCGATTCCCACCAAGGCAGGGTGGCCCGAAAAAGAAAAACTTTCACCATCATTCATTCCATCACTGTCTTGCCAGAAGGGTGCTTTACACTACAGTTTTTAAACTGCAACATTAACTGAACTTCACTGAGGTCAGGTCAAGTGATCTGTTGTGGGATCACCTAGGAGCTGTCTCCTGAACTCACCTCAGCTGTTCACCTCGCCTGACCTCACATTTTTACCTTGCCTGATCCCACAACAGTTACACATAGCAGTTCAATTTGTCGCATGTACTTTTACCTCTATGAAACTATTTCTCATGCATCATGTATATTTAGAGGGAACAAGGTTCCTGGACAAAATTTTTTATTATATTCTCTTGTTAATACAGGTATTATTTTACCTGGAGTTTTGGAAAGCTCTTGATCGCAAAGTACCTGTAAAATAGGAAATAATCAGGATGGGAGGAATAGCTTCAATTTTTTCCTTGCTGGATTATCCATTTTTGCTTGACCAACAGAGGTCATGAAATGTTGCTCCTAGAGCAGTAAATTTTATAAATTTTATTTTTATAACTGTAGCACTAATCTTTTACAACATTTCACACAAACAAAGTTGTTTAAAGTGCTTTAATCTTTTCCTGTGTAATTGTTCATGCATTAAATACATTAATTAGCTCTTGTTCCATCACCAAGGTGCATTGTTCTGTCTGATTAATACACCTGACAGTTTAGTTTGTCAGCGGAAAGTCTTTCAGCTTCACCATAGCTATGGTTAAATATAAGTATAGAAAAAATTGCATTGAATCAATTTATCACCACCAACCGCAGTGTAAACAATGAGCACACAGTCATCTGTAGCTGCCCAATTAATAGTTTAATGGGTACCCCATACCCATCCTGTGGGCAATGTAAACTAGTCTGGTTGTTAACCCTTTCAGGGTCCACAGGCCCTCTCAGACTTGTTCTCAGGGTCCCCCAAATTTAAAAAAAAAAAAAAAAAAAATTCTTATGAAAAGATAATCTTTTCCCAATCATAATGACACCAAAAGTATGAAATTTGAATGAAAACTTACGGAATTATGCTCTCGCGAAATTAGCGGTCTCAGCAATGTTTATGCATTGGCAATTTTTGCCCTCTTTGAGCCCTATTTTCAGCCAATTCCAATGTACTAGTCGACAAAAATCATAACTATTTTGCTAGAACTCCATTTTTTCTATTGAATGAGTACAAGAAACCACCAATTTACCGATTTTAACTATCCAATACATTGTTCAGAATTTAGCAATTTTGCCTATTTCACACAAATTTCAAAAGATGCCAATTTCCAAATAGGGTTCAGAATAAAAGACATTCCTGGCACTAAAATAACATTTATTCTGTTCATTAGTCACATCCCCAGGCCCCTCTTACATTTCTTTTGCTTTCCACCTTGAATTTTTATTCTCTCAAAAAATAAGATTTACTGTTATGCAGACTACTGCATTAGTGTAGAAATGGTATAAATAATATCAGCGCACTTGTGAAAGAATATTTCTCACCAGTTGACGTGTATTGGACGCTTTGCATGATTTGTTTACTTTTGAACTTCGGTAAAAATCTAAAGTTTCTGCTACTTTGAGCTCAGTTTCAAGGTACTTTTCATTGTAAAACCAGTCAAAATCATCTCTATTTCTGTAATGTCTTCCATTCTATACAATGAGACCAGGAAAGCTAATAAAACAACAAATACTATATGAAAATACAGTGCAAAGTCGTTGTTTTAATCCAAAAACACAGTCAAAGTTTTTTTCTCATTACGCATTGTGCTGCAGGATTTTTTTTTATACTGTGCACACTGACCACATAGACCCATTCTTTCATATGTAGGCCTACCAGCTTTCTCTCACTAGATTTGAAGGCGCTAGAATTTATGCGTACTAGTGCATCATGGACACTGGCACGTAAGCCGTACTAGTACAGCCGAAACCCTAAAAGGGTTAAGGGATTTTTGAGTGCATTCATAATTTGGTCCTGACCAGAAGAGGTGCCAAACATCACCTCCCAGAAAATTTTTACCTTTATTAGTAGTAGTAGTAGTAGTAGTAGTAGTAGTAGTAGTATTATGATAATTGTAGGGAAAACTAACTTAGCCAATTTCTCAACAGATCTGGATTACTGAGGAAAAGGAACTGCCATACAAAGAAGCTATGACATATAAAGAACAGAAACAGAAGTTTCAGAATCTTGAGAAGGAAGACAAGTTGAAGCATATCATTCCTTCACTCAGAGAATTTTATGAGTTTAAGGCAAGTGGTTTTGTAGCTGTTTTATGAGTATAAGGCAAGTGGTTTTGTAGCTGTTTTATGAGTATAAGGCAAGTGGTTTTGTAGCTGTTTTATGAGTATAAGGCAAGTGGTTTTGTAGCTGTTTTATGAGTATAAGGCAAGTGGTTTTGTAGCTGTTTTATGAGTATAAGGCAAGTGGTTTTGTAGCTGTTTTATGAGTATAAGGCAAGTGGTTTTGTAGCTGTTTTATGAGTATAAGGCAAGTGGTTTTGTAGCTGTTTTATGAGTATAAGGCAAGTGGTTTTGTAGCTGTTTATGAGTATAAGGCAAGTGGTTTTGTAGCTGTTTTATGAGTATAAGGCAGTGGTTTTTGTAGCTGTTTTATGAGTATAAGGCAAGTGGTTTTGTAGCTGTTTTATGAGTATAAGGCAAGTGGTTTTGTAGCTGTTTTATGAGTATAAGGCAAGTGGTTTTGTAGCTGTTTTATGAGTATAAGGCAAGTGGTTTTGTAGCTGTTTTATGAGTATAAGGCAAGTGGTTTTGTAGCTGTTTTATGAGTATAAGGCAAGTGGTTTTGTAGCTGTTTTATGAGTATAAGGCAAGTGGTTTTGTAGCTGTTTTATGAGTATAAGGCAAGTGGTTTTGTAGCTGTTTTATGAGTATAAGGCAAGTGGTTTTGTAGCTGTTTTATGAGTATAAGGCAAGTGGTTTTGTAGCTGTTTTATGAGTATAAGGCAAGTGGTTTTGTAGCTGTTTTAAATGGTATAAGGCAAGTGGTTTTCTTTGTAAGCTGCTTTTATGAGTATAAGGCAAGTGGTTTTGTAGCTGTTTTATGAGTATAAGGCAAGTGGTTTTGTAGCTGTTTTATGAGTATAAGGCAAGTGGTTTTGTAGCTGTTTTATGAGTATAAGGCAATGGTTTTTGTAGCATGTTTTATGAGTATAAGGCAAGTGGTTTTGTAGCTATTTTATGAGTATAAGGCAAGTGGTTTTGTAGCTGTTTTATGAGTATAAGGCAAGTCAAAATGGTTTTGTAGCTGTTAAAATCTGAAAGGCTAATGCTCACTATAATACATATAATTTACAAAAAAGCTGCACTTTTGAGAGAAAACTATACATTTTCTTCCATCCCAGACCATTATTTAGTCAAAACTGGATGGTTTTATCATCACTGGATATAACTTCAACTTTTTTTTTTTTCTTTCTTTTGCATCTTGGTTTCCATACTTTTGTGACTTGCTAATAGTTGTCCAGAAAGCAGTGAAATGCTTGATAATTTCCTCTGGACAGTGTGGAAGTTTTGTGAATTGCTTCAGCCACAGCTGTTTTCAGGATCAGCAACTTATGTTGAGTAGATAGACTATGAAACTAATGAAGCTGAAGCTTCAGGACCCCTGATCCCAGAGGGGCCCCAGAAGTGACTTTAATCCACATTGCTTAAAATTTTTGGGTCTACTGTATGAGAGTTTTTAAAAATAACAGTGTAATTAAACACAAAATGATAGTTTTGCTGGTTGTGAAGGATCCCCATAAGTTTCAGGGCCCCAAAAATGCAGGTCCACTACTGGCTTATAAATGATGAATATATTACACAGTTTCCACACTTCTCATCCCACCTACTGCACACATTTAATTTTTTATAAAAAATTAGATTTTTGGAAAATGGCGCCTTGAGTGGTAGGTGACCAAATATTTTTAATATTCTTAAGAAAAGTAATCCATATTTATTTTCCACGGAGGTATTGCGTGTTAGATAGGAGTGAATGTAGATGAATAGTTTTTGGGATTTGATTAACAGTTGGAGTGTGAACAGGGTAATATTTTGTGAAGGGATTCAGAGAAACTGGTTAGCCAGACTTGAGTCCTGGAGGTGGGGAAGCACAATGCCTGCACTTTAAAGAGGGGTTTGGGATATTTGCAGTTTAGTGACATCTGAACTGTCAATGTGAGTGCCTCTGCAGGATAGGGATTGTGTGAATGATGAAAGTTTCTCTTGCTTTGGGTTGCACTGCCTTGATGGCAGACTGCCAACTAAGTGTGTATTCTCTTGACTTTTGTTCATACCTCAGTTTTGGCTGCAGAAGAAAGTTTGTGGTTGTACACAGTTTGGATTAAAAGTAATACTGTATAAAACAGATTGCATTTAATGTTTATTAATCTCTGTTAATGTTTAAATTAGTGTTCCACCATAGTTCAAATTTTTTATACATTACTGTATTACTATCAATCAGCATTTTATCCTTTTGTTGTGTATTTGCCTTGTGAATTACCCTAATTGCTTTTATTTTGCTTCTTCACAGAAAAGTGCAGATGAATACTTGGAGAAAAATCCTGATTTTGTATTTCCCATCATTCAGGGTCCTAACAAAAGTGATATACAGCTCTTCCTTGAGTGAGTAATATTGTTCCATTTTGTGTATGTTCTGATTATATACATGGGTACCTTGAGTTGCAGTATTAATCTGTTCCAGATGTATCGTAACCCAAGACTATTGACTCAAAACCACAAAATAAGATTCTATGGTAATTCATTCCAAAACCCTGTAAGGGCAACTTTTACTGCAGCCTGCACTTTGCATGCTCAATTTATTATTTTTATAATCAGAACTAAGTGCTGAATCTACAAGGGCTGGCTTAAATATAACATGCAGGTATTGTCCTCCTTCATCTGCTTCTCTTATCTACAGTAACAAGTCTTTCAATCTGTGTGATAACTTCTGCCTTATTTTCATTAGATTCATCAGCCACTAAAATATCCTCTGTCATTGCTTAATAGGAGATGGTTGATAGTGGAAAGCCATACTCAGACACCAATGCCCTTCTAACTCCTGCATCTTGTTTTAACACTTTTTTGAGCTTCATAGATATCCTGGTCATTGCACACTTTAGGGGCCATGATGACATGGTAACACAGATAGCATAATTAAAGAGCAAATGCATATCATATATCCAATTTTTCACCACAACTCAAAACTAAACTCCTTTGAGGGGCAAATTATAACTCAGTACTATGGTAACTCCCTCTCATTGTAACCCAAGAGACTACTGTACTGAGACATGTGTAACTTTTATCAAATGAGCCATTCCTTATCCATCCTTCAGAATGCTTTCTATTCCGACAGAATTGCTGTTTTTTTTTTTTTTTTTTTTGTTCTTGGTAAATCTTGTATACTTATTTGGTAGCTTCCCTTCTCATTAATGAGGCATATGAGATTGTGCCCTATTCACAGATAGAGCACTCTTTAATTATATTTATTGATAGAGTAATTTTTCATCCCCCATATTATTCAAGGTATTATAAGAAATGTTCCTACATTTTCAGATACCGGAGAATGCCAGTGACTCCTCCCATCAGACCTAGCATGATGTATTATCATGAACTCCAGAAGGCTGGAGAGTTGGACCAGTTTTCAGGTTTCGAGAAGGTCACGGTGGCTTTGGAGAGGTACCAAAACCTGCCCTCTTCAAGAAAACTACATTACAAATCTTTACTTGATAAGGTAAAGTGATCAGAACTGTTCACGAGGAAATTTATGAATATGAGTGAATTGAAAAACGGCAGAAATTAATAATGATGGAAGCAAATAATAATGGTGCTAGTGCCTTGTGTTAAACTGTGAATGCTACACCTCCCCTTTTGGGATTATTGATTTGGCAATGAAACATTGAACTTTTGCTTGGCTTCACTACCTAGGAATGAGACTTTAGCCAGTATGATTTTAGGAATGGTAGGCAGCTCCAATTCAAAATTTCAGGGTTCTAAAAAATAGCATAATGACAAAAAATTAATTTGTTTTCCAGAAAATGGAGAAGTGCAGAATGCAAAATGGATGCCTGGGAAGAGAATCAAGATGAGTTAACATTGTTTTATGAGAGCGAGACTACTTTGAGTACGTATAACATTACTGTTCCTTTTGAGCAAGAGAGATAGAGCTAGATAGATACAGTGGTCCCTCGAAATAGTCGAGCTCGATAGTTGCCCCTTTTCTGAAATTGTCGCATTATTTTTAGTCCAAACATTGGCTCGCAAATGGTCAGTTGACTAGCTAATTGTCGTTCATCCGGGACACGTACTCACAGCTCTGAGCCACCTCGGTCTCCCTTCCCGCCAGTGGGGCCATTGTTTACCATGAGCAATGGTTCCCTCATGTTTTTCAATGAAATTTCATAATATTAGATTCATTTTGGGTGCTTTGCAAGTGCTAAATAAGCTACCATGGCTCCAAAGAAAGCTCCTAGTGCCAAGCCTTTGGTAAAGGTGAGAAATATGATTGAAATTAAGAAAAACATCATTGAACAATATGAAGTGGTGTACGTGTGGCTGAACTGGCGAGAATATAACAAATCCCATACAACCATATCTTCCATCGTGGCCAAGAAAAGGGATATCAAGGATGCGTTGTTGCAAAGAGGGTAAATATGCTGACAAAAAATGAATCACCAGTACTCAAAGAGGTTGAGAAGTTATTGGTGTGGGTAAACTAGAAACAATTAACAGGAGATAGTGCTATGACATAAATTATTTGTGAAAAAGCTAGGCAGTTGCATGACGATCTGGTAAAGAAATTGCCTGCAATGAGTACTGATATTTGTGAATTTAAGGCCAGCAAAGGTTGGTCTGAGAGATTAAAGAACCATAGTGGCATACAGTGTGATAAGGCATGGTGAGGCTGCCAGTTTGGACAAAATTGCAGCTACAAAATCTGTAAGCGAATTCAAGGAGTACATAGAGGCTGAAGGACTGAAACCTGAACAAGTGTTAAATGGTTATGAAACAGGCCTCTTTTGGAAGAAAATGCCAAAGAGGACCTACATTACTCAGGAGGAAAAGGGACTGCCAGGACACAAGCCTACGAAAGACAGGCTGATGCTCATGTTCTGTGCTAATGCTAGTGGGGGACTTCAAAGCAAAGCTGTTACTAGTGCACCATTCGAAAATGTTATAAAATTGTGTGTTTGGAGATCTAATAATAAGGCTTGGGGTCACGAGGGAAATTTTCATTGAGTGGTTCAATGAAGTGTTTGGCCCTAGTGTGAATTACCTCCTGGAAAAGAAATTGGATCTCAAGTGCCTCCTGGTAATGGACAATACACCTGCTCATCCTCCAAACTTGGATGACCTAATTCTGCCAGTTTGAGTTCATCACAGTAAAGTTCTTGCCCCTGAATACCACTCCTCTCCTCTAGCCCATGGACCAGCAGATGATTTCAAACTTTAAAAAACTCTACATGAAAGCAATGTTTCAAAGGTGCTTTAATGTGACCTTAGACACTCACTCGACCCTAAGAGTTTTGGAAAGAATACTTTAGTATCCTCCATTGCATAAGCCTTATAGGTAAGGCTTGGGAGGGAGTGACTACCAGGACTTTGAACTCTGGAGAAAATTGTGTCCAGATTGTATCCACAAGAGGGATTTTGAAGTGTTTTGCTGACCCTGATGAGCCTGTCAGTTGTGAACTCTATTGTGGCATTGGGGAGTTCCATGGGGTTGGATGTGAGTTTGGAGGATGTGGAAGAGTTGGTGGAGGACCACAACCAAGAGCTAACCACTGAGGAGCTGCAAGAGCTTCAGCAGGAAGAGCAACAGATTGCAGCTCAGAATCTTGCTGCAGAGGTGGAAGAGAGATGGAAGAAGGTGCCTTCAGAAATTTAGGAGATTTTTGAAATGTGGAGTAGGATGGAAAGATTTATGGAGAAACATCACCCTGAGAAGGATGTTGCAAGCCATATCAGCAACTTGTACAGTGAGTCTTGGCCCATTTTAGGGATGCCAGAAACAAAGCTCTGGACTTTTTTTTGTGAGACAGGACTCCAGTGACTCTCAAGCTGGTCCTAGTGGCATTAAGAAAAAAAGTAACCCCAGAAAAGGACTTGGTACCAAAGGTTTTGATGGAAGGGTTTTCCCCTTTTAAATGGTAACAAATCCAATCTCTCTCCTCCCCCCCTTTTCTTCCATACACCTAAGAAGAGTTGCCTTTAAAGAAAGGTTTTTCCTTTTTTAAGTTTCAATAATCATGCCCATTGTATTTTTTAAAAAGTAAAAACCATTTAAATTTCCTTTTTGAAAAAATTTTTTTTAAAATTTACTTCTGGGTGTCGGGGAACGGAAAATTGTTTTTAAACATTATTTCTCGGGGGGAAAATTTGATTGGGAAAATAGTCATTTCTTTAATCGTCAAAATTTTCCCGGAAATGGTTTAAACGACAATAAACGGGGGATCCAACTTTTTTCAAAATTCAACAGGGCTGGAAATTTCCTCCCCCCAAAGGAAAGGGTGACCAAAAAAAAAAAACCCTTTCAAAACACTCCCTTGGGAACCCAAAATTAATTTTAAAATTTTCTCAAAAAAGGAAAAACCGGGGCATTAGAGATGGGGTATTAAAGTGCCAAAGGTGAGGGGAAAACCTTTTGGTTTTAAGGTACTCTTTGTGTAAAATTTTTGGGGGTTCTATCTGGGAAAAGGAGTGTAACAACTAAAAAGTAAAATTTAAATTTTTGCCTTTTTAATTTCAAAAATATTTTTGGTGCTACGGGTTTTATCTTTTTTTAAAACTACATCTTGTGTATTTTAAAATAACAGCTAAGAAAAAAAAGTGTTTTTTCTTTTTAATCTTTTTAATTTTAATCAAAATAAATAAAACTAATTTAACTAAGTTTTTCTCGGGGAGTTTAAAATTAAGAAAAGGGAAAAATCCTAAGAAAACCCCCCCCATCCCCAATTTACCCGTCGTAATTTTAAAAAACCCATCGGGAAAGCTTTTAAAAAAAGTATTAAATTTGAAAAAAACCATGCCAAAGTTTCTTTGATGAACCATGAAAACCTCCAAAAGAACCCTTTTTAAACTCTTCAGTAGGGAATTTAAAAACTTTTGGCCCAAATAAATATGAATCACAGCCCCAATTTCAAAAAGGGTTTTTAAAAAACAAAGGGAAAAACCGCCCAAAATAAAAGCAAAGTTATACGAAAAATTTTGAAGAACTTAAAAAAATTGCAGAACAAGAAATTACAGTTTTGGGGAAAAAACATGAAAAAAAATTTTGCATAGAGTGTATTTTTGGGCTTTTAAAATCGCAAAACATTGTTTACATTTTTTCCCAACTGATAATTTTTGGAAGAATTTTAACCTATAAAAAATTTTTTTGGTTTATTTTTTTAACCCCAAACGGAAGCGGAAAAACATTGAGAAAAACCCCCCGGGGATAACTTCGCCAAGAACGAGGGGGATGACGCCTTTATTTGCTGATTTTTTTTTCAAGAAAAATAATAAAAATTTTGAGTTTAAAAAGAAAAAGAAGAAACAAAAGTGAATTTTTTTGCGGGCCTTAAAATAATTTATCCATTTAAGGGTTATTAAAAATCAAAGGCAGTAAAAGGGTACAATTCATAGTACTTTTGAAAAATCAAAGCCCAAAAAAAGGCAAAGAAATATCTGCACAAACTTTTTCTAGGGTTTCAAAAAGAAAAAATTAAATTGGGAACTAAAGAAACTCTTGTTTCCCATTCTCATGAAAAAATCAAAAAATAAAAAGATGCAAATGTAAAAACATTTGAAAAAATAAAAAAACTGACAGTGACCCCGAATATGACTTTGAACGCAGCCATAAACCTTACAAAGGCCAGCTGAAGCCTCATTGACCACCACACAAAAAAAACGGAAAATCTGAAAACGAGAAATGTGAGGGTTACTCAGATACAGATATTTTTCCACCGGGAAGACTACAAAATAAATAAAGAAAGAAAGTATGAAAGTAAGCTTTTTTATTGCCTCCGTTGTTAAAAAAAATTTTCCTTGGGAGACAAACAGTGAATATTTGATAGTCCACAAGAAGGTTTTTTTCCTTTGGTTAAAATAAAAATTTTTTTTTTACAATGTTTTTTTGTGGGCTTACAAGTAATTGAAATTAATTGGGGTTTGTAATTTTTGGGAAACAAAACCCCATGGAAAAATTGCGTAACCCTTTGACTGCCAACCCCTTTCCCCAAAAAATTTCTTAAACCCCCTTTTTTGTCACAACCCCTTTTTCCAAAAAATTTTCTTAACCCCCTTTGACTGTCCAAAAAACCCCTTTTTCCCAAAAAAATACTTAACCCCTTTTACTGTCACAACCCCTTTTCCCAAAAAATTTTCTTAACCCCTTTAAAATGTCACCAAACCCCCCCTTTCCAAAAACTTTCTTAAAAACCCCCCCGACGTTTACAAGCCCATTTCTCAAAAAAAATTTCCCTTTAACCCCCCTTTACTGTCCAAAAACCCCTTTCTCAAAAAACCCTTAAAACCCCCTTTACTGTCACAATCCCCTTTCCCAAAAAATTTTCTTAAAACCCCTTTACTGTCACAAACCCCTTTCTCCAAAACTTGCTTAACCCCTTTGACAGTCCAAGCCCCTTTCTCAAAAACTTGCTTAACCCCTTTGACAGTCACAAGCCCCTTTCTCAAAACTGCTTAACCCTTGACAGTCACAAGCCCCTTTCTCAAAAACTTGCTTAACCCCTTTGA